TTCTTGCTCTTAGAGCGAGGCACCTCGAGCAGATGTTGACCGGCAGACCGCAGAGCTCTGCTGGGTTTGTGGATTTTCAAGAGATCCGAAATGTAGGGTGCTGCAAGGCCATTCAAGGCTTTAAAAACAAATAACAACAGCTTGAATTTTATCCTAAACTGAACCGGGAGCCAGTGCAAAGAAGAAAGCACAGGAGTTGGTTTTGAGCTAAACTTTGATGTGATTGTAGCTGAGAGTCACTTAGAAGGTTTCACCAAAATGATCATAACTCTGTCCTTGAAAGGTGGCGGGTGAAATGCTTTCATTCACGGGATGCCAGGTTTTTAATTTGGATGGTTGTTGTATTTTCTGTGAAAACTTACACGTGTTATTGTGGATATTTTCCTTCACAGGCAGCTCCGTGAGCTGCGCAGCAGCAGCGTAACGGGCCGGGGATCAGGCCGAGGGTCAGTAGGATCCCTGTCTCCTGTCTTGTCCTCTACTGGGTCCCCCCGCGCCCCCAACCATTCGCCTGCCGGCCTCAAGCGCCGACCGGCATCCTTTCACGCCCGAACGCCTCGGACCCCACGTCCAAATGACCTGAAGGTCACGCCCATCAGCCGAATGCTCAACACCCCCACCTCAGTGGACAGCCTGCCCAGACTGAGGCGCTTCAACTCCAGCCAAACCCAGCACTGCTCCTTTGCCTACCTGGGCCACGACGAGGGGGCCAGGGAAACAAACAACCGGGACCCCAAGGACAACAAAGAGAAGACAGAGGAGGCGGGGGYGAAAACGAGTGGTGAAGAAGTGGCCAAAGACAAGCAGGAAGAGAGGACAGAGCTTAAAGAGGAGACGCCCGAGGTGTTGCATCAGCCGGTGTCTGAGCTCAAAGGGACTCAGGGAGACCCTCAGGACAGGAGAGACCTGGTGGAGGTGTCTCTGTCTCAGTTGAAGCTTTCAGGCGACCAAGATCAGGAGATCACAAGAAATGGAGAAAAAGGAGGAGAAGACCAAAAGATGTGTTGTGGATTCTTCTTTAAGGTGAGAATCTGAATATTCCAGTTGTGAGTTCTGCATTTACACTTTACCTYCTCACAGGTTGCAGTTTGTCTCTTTTCATCTCAAGCTCAGCTTATTTTCATGATTCCTGCTGTCCTTCTTAATCTGTCCATCATCTCAACTTCATCTTCTGGATTTTATGTGGGAAGAAATCGGAGGTTTATAGTAGTTAAGTACATTCACTTAGTTACAGCACTTAAGTAATTCTTTTGAGGATTTGTAATTTTACCAAATATTTTTTTTAAATCGTGACTTTTACTTTTACTTAGTTACTTTTAAAACCAAAAAATGATACTTATACTTCTTTACTTTAAAGTTTAACACCAAGGTACTTGTTATAAATTAAATCTGTCTGAACTCATCAAGAAAGGAGTTGTTTATGTGCTCTAAAAACGTTAAGTGTTGAATTTACTCAACTAAATCATATCAGCTATTTCCACTAAAACTAGTAGATTAAATTTGATGCAATATACATATTTTATTTTAAAGGAATTGACCAATTTAATCAACTTGGTTTGGCRGAGCCAGTTTGGTTCTGTAAATTTAACAGTTTATTTGTTAGAGCGCAGAAAAGTGCTTTTACTTCTACTTTTCTAATTTTTGTGAACAATTTTATGACTTTTACTTAAGTACTATTCTCATCAGTGACATTTATTTTAGTTTTTTTTTTTCAAGTACTTTATAGACCTGGAAGAAATAATGAAATATCTGCCTTACGCAGCCTAAAGTGTCTGTGACATGCATGTTTTTCAACTACAAAAAGTCAAAGAAAATATCTTTATATTTAATAGACTTGACATATTACAAACAATTTTTCCTTACTGTGTTGTAAATTAAAAAAAGCTTAAAGAACAGATTTCTTCTGTATATAATCTGATTGTGTGTAATCCATCAGGATGATGTGAAGGGAGAGGAGGACATGGCCACGAAGAAAGCAGCTCTGCTGGAGAAGAGGCTGCAGAGGGAGAAGGAGGCTCAGGGGAGGAGGCAGCAGCAGGAGCAGGACCAGGAGCAGAAGAGGGAAGCTGCACGGTGCGTAAATATCTTTATACATTTTTCAACCCATTCAGTTTTCTCTATCTTCTATGATGTTTTCTGAAGTAATGCATCAAATTGTTTGCGACGGAACTGCCAAATGAGGTCTGGACTTACCAACTGCAATTGGGTGGTCTTCATTCTTCAGAACAAAGCATTGCAGTGCCACTTTGTATACACCGCAACTGAACGATTTCAATGTGGAAAACCAAGAGTCAAACACAAAGTGAGCAGTGTCGTTTGAACACAAGTTCAGTCTGCGGGATCGTGTTCTTCTGCAGGTTGAAAGCAGAGGAGGAGCAGCAGAAGAAGGAGGACGAGAAGGCGCGGCGGGAATACATCAAGAACGAATACTTGAGGAGGAAGCAGCTCAAACTGATGGAGGACATGGATGAAGTCATCAAGCCTCGAACCGGGAGTCTGAAGAAAAAGCCTCGGCCCAAGTCCATCCACAGGGATGTCGTGGAGTCGTCTGCTCCACTTGCAAGAGCGACAGGTAAAATAAATAAATAAATAAATAAATAAAAAACGCAAACACGTGATCACGGGACATCTCTTACCGATCCGTGCTCGTCCTGCAGGGGTGCGTCCTCGAGGCTTCTCTGTGTCTAGTGTCTCTTTGGCTTCACTCAATCTGGCCGACAACGACAGAGACCAGCCAGATAACAAGAGGAACAACAGGTGAGACACGTTGTACCTTCATACAGCCTTGATTTGAAGCACAACTGTGAGAAACTGCAGGTAAAAAAGGAAGCAGTGGAACTGAATTGATTTACTAATCATGACAGTTTTAACAGTTTGATCTCCTTTATCCCTGTTTGCTTCTTCTCCCACTCTGCATGCATCCTTCAGAGGCAACAAATTAGCTTCTGCTCATGTTCCGTTTTTTTTAAGCTCCTCCCCCAAAGAAAGAAAGGGAAGGTTAGTACCAACATGAAAAAGAGCTTTTTTAAATTTTTTTAAATGTTGGCTTTGCGTAGATTTGCTTCAGCATCTCTTATTTTATATTAGCCCTCATCAGATAAGCTCAGACACAAAAGACGGGTTCAGTCGTGGCRGTTTTTGTGTCTGCATTAAGGTCCATCAGCCGTTTCGCTGCAGCACTGCTTCCATCTTTTCCCCCCTCATGTTTTGCAGAGGTCTCGGGCTGTTGGCTCCCTTCTTTATTGCTTGACTTGTGTTTTTGCCATTCTCTCCGCTGAGTTCATCTCTCTCAGCAGGGCCGCTCAGCTTTGCTCGACTGAACACGTCTACTCCGACCCGCTGCTCAGCTTCCCCTCACACATCCGGTGCAATGCAGGGACAACAGGCAGAGTTGATATGAAYCGTGTCTGACCTTGTTTCGCCTCGTTTCTGTTGTGTCCATGCATGTCTCCGTGTGTCCTGCGTGGGGATCCTTGTGTACGTGCTTGTGTTTGTCCGTGCGGTGGTTCGTCACTTGTTGGTTTGTGTTCGTCGACTCAGGCCAGACTCCGCAGAGGGCTTCTCCTCCTGTCCGTCGGCCGGCAGCCGCAACGGGGAGAAGGATTGGGAGAACGATTCAAACACCTCCTCCACTCCCTCCAACACGGAGTACACAGGTAGGCGTCGACAGGCGAGGTAGCCCCTCCACTCAGCCCCCCGAACATAAATCTGTAAACTCGCGCTTTCTTCCTTTCAGGACCCAAATTATATAAGGAGCCGAGCGCCAAATCCAACAAACACATCATCCAGAATGCCCTGGCTCACTGCTGCCTGGCTGGCAAAGTCAACGAAGGACAGAAAAACAAGATACTTGATGTAAGTATTATATTCTGTATGTGAGTATAAATGTGCAAAAAATGACATTAAAACCATTTCTCTGCAGCAGAACAACATTAGTATGTAACACAGAAAACCCTGGAGCTGTTGTGACCTTTGTATACATTTTTCACTTCTTACTGACCAGGTGTACTCAAACTGTGAACAACAGATTCTGTCAGGAATCATTTCTATTTTAGTCCAGACCAGGAAACTGTACRTTTTAGTTAATCCTAAAATAAATAAATAAAAAATAATAATAAAAATAAAAAAATCCTACAATGATTAAAGGCCAACTACCACCATTACTGCCCCAAGTGCCTTTAACAGGTAATCGCTGTGGACTACAATGGTTATATGTTTTGTTTTGTTTTGTTTTTTCACATTTGGGCCAGACAAGTGTAAAAAAAAATAAAAAAATAACCACACAGACATGAAAAGATTTGAGCACACCGCCAATAAATTCTGAAGGCTGATGATGTCAAAGAAAGAACACCCCAGAGGCAGTAGAGTGTATTCATGCTGGAGAGTGTGCAGTGAGGATGGTTTCCAGTTATTTGTTGGACATCTTTGAAGATTTAAATACAAGTGATGAACAAAGTAGAACTGTTTAGTGTGAAGTTATTCATCAATAWGGAAGTTCTGATCCATACGATCCATCACAACGACAAGAAGACTGCAGCTCCACCAGAAAACTCTCCTGGATGGACCTTCCCGACTTAAAACTGACTGATATATGCTAAGATTTACAATTTAAAAAGCTGCATTAATAATTTTGTGGATCAATGGATACACTGGCATATTTCMGACCACATGATCAGTTTCAGTCGCTGCAGCTGAAAATACACAACCACCCTGAGGCTGCATTTTAATTTACCAGTAAAACCGATTTAAACTATTAACTAGTTTTTAAACTGTGTTGATAGGTCATGTAAAACCAGAGTTATGGTTATTAATTCACACCACATCTTTTTTTTCTCTGAATTATTGTCCTATTTGAAGCCSGTGGCTTGCAGGTCTGTCTGCCGCAGCTAGTCTGGTCAGTTTTCAGGTCCAGGTCACGGTAGAGCTGCCAGTTAGTCCAGCGTCTTTCCTCTCTAAATGCCTGGGACGCTGCTGGCTCATAATCCTGTGGTTGAAAATGATCGGAGYAGAACACCGGTGCTGCAGGAAGTCCGACATTAAGTTTTTGAAATAATGGATGATAACTCCTTTCATGGCTTTATTTCCACAGAACTGTGCAAAACATTAATTTGACATTTTGTTCCAGCAATGAGTAATCTGACCAGAAATAAAATATAAGATTGGTACCTGGCTGTCCTGCTGAAGGGGGTTCCTTTCTTGATGTCACAGCCCATAAATRGAAGTGATGCCTTTTTCCAACCAGCAGCAGGAAAACTCACACAAATTCCTTTTTAAAAACTATTTTGCATGACTCTTTGCCACAGAACATAGATGTTTATTTTTTGTCTATCTTATTTTACTATGCAATATGAAAAAATGGTGGATGTAGGGCTTTAAAGATGTTTTTATATACTTTTTTGTTGTTGTTGTTGCAGGAAATGGATAAATGCCAGGCCAATAACTTCCTGGTGTTGTTCCGCGACGCTGGATGCCAGTTCAGATCCGTTTACACCTACTGCCCCGAGACTGAGGAGATGGCCAAACTGGCCGGCATCGGCCCCAAAAGCATCACYCCCAAAATGATCGAGGCTCTCTACAAGTACAACTCGGACAGGAAGCAGTTCAGTCGGATCCCAGCRAAAACCATGTCGGCCAGCGTGGACGCTATCACCATCGCCAACCATCTGTGGCAGAATAAGAAGCAGGGGACGCCCAAGAAACAGCCCAAGTAGTTCCAGATGGCGTCTGGTCATGCTCTGCTGGAACTGAAGGAAGAATTTGTGGATTATGCTTTTTTCATATATATATAATAAAAACTGGAATGTTGGAAACAATGTTACAGATACTAAAACACAAAGCTGGCTGTGACACAACTTCAATGAGACATAAGTGTGTTTTTGTCAGCATGTGTCGATGTTCCCATGTGCCAAAAAATTTAAAAAAAAGAGAGGAGAGCCTTACCGAGCCGAACCACTGAAGCGCTGAATGTCCCGCCTCTCACGGGCTGTTGGGGTTCTCTAAGATGATCATGTGTAGCCTTATGCTTGTTTTGTGTCACATGGATGCACCATGGGTGTTTGTGTCATTTCATTCGTACCTGTTCAAAAAGTCTTCTCGTCGTGTGTGTGTGTATGCACACAGGTCTGAGATCAGATTACGCCTCCTCCCAAAGGGTGGGCCGTCTGTGATCAGAAGCAGCATTCTCTGGTGTGTTCTGCTGCTGTGAAGGCATGTAGTTCAGCTTTTTATACATGCTACTGACAAACTTCTAAACAGGTCAAATGTGTGTGTGTGTGTGTGTGTGTGTGTGTGTGTGTGTGTGTGTGTGTGTGT